CAGGCCGGAGTGCAGGGGCGGAGAGAGGAGTCACTGGACAGCGAGTGGGGAGCAGAGCAGGCAGATCCAGAAGTACAGTGCTGAGGGAGCAGCCAGCGGGGAGACAGGAGGGGTCTGCTGCGCCCTGTGGGTCAGCTCCAGGGGCGGGGATCGAACTCGCCCCGCCCTACCTTGCCTGCAGTGTGCTGCGTCCTGACCTGTTGGCCACCAGGGAGGGCCCCAGCAGCGTCCTCGGGGTGACTGCAGCCTACCCCAGCACAGTCACGTCTGTGGCGCTCTTATCTCCACTGACCCAGGAGTTTCATGAAGCCCTTCTTCATTTCAGAAGCACAGTAGGGTCTTTTACTAAAATTTCACTGCTTGTTGGTGATGTTTAAAAGCTCAATTGTGTAGTATAAAAACCAGGCTGATTTTAAGATCTTGAAATTAGTCGAGTTGCCTTATGCTCTAGACCTTGACAGATTTATTGGGAGATGTTCTGTGTCTGTGTCTTCATCCCTCCTCCCACCCCTGGAGGGAACGGGTCCAGGAATTCATGTGGCCACCAGAAATGCCCAATGTTCAAGCGCTGTATGTAAAATGGGGCAGTATTTTGCTCATCCCCCAGATGCTTTAAATTATCTCTAAATTATTTAAAATACCTAATGCAAAGTTACTGCTACATAACTAGTTGTTACACTGTTTTATTAGGGAATAAAGACAAGGAGTGGGCTTAACTACATAGTATATATTTTCCCACCTCTCAGTCCTCATAGCATATTTTCTGAGGTGCAGAACTGGCAGATAAGAAGGGGGGGGCTGTAAATGCTTTTCTGTATTTTTTGGGGTGCAGTGAGTGCTCTGTGTTTGTCTGCCACATCAACTCTCTTAATCACATTCTTCCCATCTTTTATATCATTGAATTTTTTTTACCTGCAACACAACTGTGATTTGTTTTTTCATTATGGAGCTATCCATAGTTATATTTATTATTTTAAAGAGTAAATGCCTTTTTAAAAAAGATTAATTTTAATTTTATTTATTTATGCATACAAGATCTGGGGTGTAGGCCAGAGGTTTGGGGGTGGGTGGGTAAGGGCAGGTGAGAAGATTTCCCAGAGACAGAGTGGGGAGCAGAACAGGTAGATCCAGTGAAATGCACTCTGAGGGGAGCAGTGGGGAGACAGGGGAGGTCTGCAGTGCCCTGTGGGTCACCTCCCTGGCCAGGGATGGAACTCATTGCAGTGGCTGAGGAGAGCTTGCTAGTACTGAGACTTACCCCACTGCGCCACCAGGGGAGGCCCTTTACATGAAATTTAAAAACAGACAAAACTGATAATGATAGAAGCTAGAATAATGGTAAAGCCTGGAGTGGGGGAGACTGGGAAGGGCATGATGGGTAATGTGCTGGTTCTGACGGGGCTGGTTGTAGGGGTGTCTTTTGAAAATTTATCAAGCTACTTATTTCTGGTCTGTGCACTCTTCTTTATGTCTGCCGTGCTGCAACCAGGAGTTTGCTTATAAACAAGGCTCCCAGCTTTTAGGTTGTTCCTATTTTATTTATTTTTTATTTATTTTATTATTTTTTTTAACAAAAGTTTATTTTTACATCATTTTGTACTTTTTTTTCCATCTCAATTGTAATCCCCGTGGGTTTCCCATCACCAAGTCACCCATGTGCCATCACCATAATCCCGTGCATTTGTTGTTCCTATTTTAAAGCAGCTACTTGTTTGCAACTAGGGGAGCCGAGGAAGGAGGGGTTCATGGGGGCAGCCCACGGGCTGGAGATGCCTGGAGAAACAAGTGGAGACAGCCAAGAGGCAGCCAGGATCGCAGAGGAGCTTGGAGGGGCATGAATGGGGAGGACCTTAGCAGCCTCTGGGAGATTTATGGCCAGTGGGTAGAGGAGGCAATTCTGGGAGCAGGTGCGGAGGAAAGGGGTCCTGAAGCCGGCCCTCTGCCTACTGAAGCTGTGTTCTGTGGCAGCGCTCTGGCTTGCTCACGCCGGCTCATGTCCTTCTCCCTGGGGTCTCTGCGCCAGCCTCAAGCCCACCTCAGCAGGGCAGCAGGGCAGCAGGGCAGCCCCCAGCCACGACCTCTGGCTTGGTGCGTTCCCTGGGGTTTCTCAAGGCCTTTAGGGATGGGAGGCTCCCCACTTTGAAAAATCCTCCCCACCAAAATAATAATAATGACAGTAGATGAACTGCACTTCTGTGAAGCCCAGAGTAGGAAAAGATGAGCTCCAGTTTAGGAGAAAACATTTCCAAATCTTACACCCAACACAAGCTGGCATCTAAAGTAGTAAGAACTCTAAACGCTAAACAGCCAAGTCACAAAGGGGCGGGAGACCGGACACTTCAAAGAAGATACATGGATGAAGGGAACAGGGCTGCTATACAACAAGATAAGGACAAGGGGAAGCTATTCTCTCTCACACTTTTGGGGGTGTTACAGGTCAAAGGTGTGAGGTGACCCAGGCACCACCTATAGAGTAAATGAGCCAGTGAAGGCGCAGAGTCCGCCTGGCCGAAGCTGGGTGGCTCCAGGCAAAGGAGCCCTCCTACCCTGAGCCTCCCGCCAGGCTCCATGAGCCCCTGAGGGTTCTAGGGAAGGGGGTGCGCCCCTGGGAATCTCTCCCACCAGAAGCGATGTCCTCTGAAGCTGGAGATTCAGGATTCCTGGGTCTCAAGGAAATTCAGACTCTCCCAGCAGCCCCGATTCCATGGCTCACCCCTCAGCCTCTCAGCCCAGGCCTCACTTCCGGGTCACACCTGGGCTTGGCATTTGCAAAGAGGGGGATGGGGCCCCTGCCACCTTCCAGGTCTTCACCCCTCTTGTGGATGTAGAACCACTGGAGAGGCTTTTACCTGGGGGAGCTGCAGCTGGGGCAGGTGGCTGCCTGGGACTGGGTTGCTCGCAGGCATAGGTGGGGGGTGGGGGGGGCGTCCACCCCAGAAGGGGCCTGATTGGTGGAGGCCCAGGGCGGTGGGGCCTGTGGGACTATATAAATACCCTCACCTGGGCTTGGAGCTACGCTGTGGGTGATTCCTGAGCACCATAAGGTTTGTCTGTGGATGGGTGCTTAGGTGGGGGTCTCCGGGTTGACCGAGGGATCAGTGGGCGTCTGAGTCTTTTTTCTTCCCGTAGTTTGAAACGTTTGAGATAGCCCCACCTCGATTTCCTCATAATGAACGTTCCTCTGGGCCGCAGTTTCCTTTCTCTACAGTCAGGGGTTGGCGGTCCCTTCAAGTCTGCAGCTTTGGTTCAGGGTGTGGGGGCAGTTGTGAGTAGGGGGACAAGGAGAGCTGTTAAACCCTGGCCCTGGGGTCCGACAGATGCCATGACTAAGGGACTGAGGCGGACACCCAGCCTGCAGGCTGCGTGTTTGTAAGCTGCTCCTCCCACTGCCGCTGCCGCCTGTGAGCAATTAGACTTGCACAGCTCCAGGCACTTAGGAAGCCCCCACGGGTGCCTGCTGCTGCTGATCTTACACCCCTCTGGCCTGACCTGGGGTACAGAAGAGCTTGGGTGCTGTAGCTTACAGGGATTCTGCTCCTTTCCCGGCCTCCCACCCTACCTGTACCCCAATTTCCACCTATGAGCCCCCAAGTCTCCATTTCCACCCCGCCGCCTTCCGGAGGTGCCTATCAGATGAGCCTCCCCAACCCCTTTGGCTTGTGGGGGCCAGGGGTGGATGCTAAGTCCCGGGGCTACTCTCTCTGTAGGTCACCTTGCCCCACCCCCCACCACGCGAGATGAGTGGTGCCCAAGACTCTGCCATTGTCAGGGCGATCGCCCCCAAGGTGACGCTAGCTGACTGGCGCAGTCTGGGCAGGAGCGGTGGGCACCCCCACCCCCAGCGGCACCGGGAGCTCCAGGTTTTCCTCAGTCTTCTGGGTGAGTTCACTTGGGGGCCTGACCTGTGGGGATGAAGCGTGCAACAGCTGTGAAAGGTGGGGTCCATGCCAGTGTCTGGAGTCCCTGTCCAGGTGACCCCACTGGGCAGGTGTGTGTGTGTGTTGGGGAGGTGTTGTGTGCCGGCCTTTGGGCTGTACGATGCCACTCATCTTGGGGGGCTGGTACCACTGATCACCCTGTCTTCCCCCCAGAACACAGTTTCCTCCAGGAATTCCTCTCCAAAGACCCTTGTTTCCGGATTTCTGATAAGGTGAGGGGTCCCCTAAGGAGGAAGGTTGGTTTAGCTGTGCTCAAGTTCTGCTAACTCACCATACCCTCCCCTCCGGTGGAAGGAGCGACCCCTTCTTTGAGGCCACCCCCAATCACTCCGCTCCGACCCCCCGCGGGAACTTCTTGGGTGTGACGGCCTGGCCCTCTGCCTGAGGCCTGACTGACCTCTCGGCTCTGCCTGCAGCACCTCCTCGCCATGGTGCTGCTCTACTTCCGGCGAGCCAACCTGACGCTCAGCGGCTACACCCCCGGCAACCTGCTCCTGGCGCTGTGAGTGGCAGGGTGGTGGTGGGGCTGGCTGCCGTCCGCTGGCAGGGTGGGCACTGTGGCCTCTGCTCCCTGCCCACCCCTGTGGCCAGGTACCTTGCAAACGACATGGAGGAAGACTATGAAGACCCCAAATGTGTGATTTTTCCATGGGCAAAGACTGGCCACAGCGGATGACGGGCTTCCTGTGCCAGAGGGACCAGCTGTGGGCACGGATGCACTTCGGGCCATGGTGAGCCAGCAGTGTCGCGAGGAGGCGAGGCCCATGGGCATCGGGGTGCGGGAGGCTGGGCCACCCGCACCCATTTACCCTCCACTCTACTCTCGCCAGGTCATGGCCAAGGAGCCGTCTCACTGGGCCTGGGCCAGGGCGCGGCGCCCCCCTCACGGTGGGGCTCAGAGGGGCTGCCCGAAGGCCCAGGCTCCCCGGCCCCGGGCCCTGGCCTCTCACCGCCCCTCTGCTCCCGCTGTGGCTTGTTCCCTTGGCACAGGCACTTGCCTGTCCTACCCAGGTGCCCTTGCCCAGACCCCAAGCGGCATCACCCTCCCTCCCGAGTGCGCCTCCCAGGGGCTGAAGACCCCTTCATCCTTCGGCCCGAGCTGCACTGGGGCCAGGCGTCTACACCCTCCACGGTGAGTTGGAGACCGGAGCTGGCAGGCAGGCTCAGGAGCCCGGGAGGCTGGCGGCCGGCCCAGAGGGGAGGGTGTGGCGCCTGCCTGCGGCCTGCACCAGCTGGACTCCCTTAGCTGTGTGAGCTCCGAGGCTCCTCCCTGAGCCTCAGTCCGTCCTCTGTCCTCTCCCCCGAGTCCTCCCGAAGCCCCCCCCCAGGCCCTGACACTGACAGGGTGAAGCCCTGCCTGCCGCCTGCCAGCCCAGCGCTCTGCTGGCTGGGACACCAGTGGCCCCAGCCTCCGGCTGGCAGCACTGCCCACATCCCCTCCTCCCTGCATCGTGTACCCCTCTGACCCCCACGACCCCCAATAAATCCGCGTCCACCGGACATCAACTGTGCGTAGGCCCTGGCCTGGCTCCTTGGCCCAGGGCGGGATGGGGCTGAGGGCCTGCCAACTCGAGGTGCCTGTTGAGCACAGGTTGAAGCCTGGGACAGACTGTCTCAGCTCCTCCCCTTGCTGGTGGCCCTGGGCCTCAGTTTCCCCTCTGTAGTATCACCCACGGGTGATGATAGCTACACCTGCAGGTGGGATAGGAGACGGGAGACATTAGAAGCCAAGACAAGAGCCGCAAATTTTTTTTTTTTTAAGATTTATTTATTTGTGCATAAAGAACTGGGGTACAGGCCAGAGGCTCAGGGGCAGCGAGAGGCTTCACCAGAGACAGAGTGGGGAGCAGAACAGGCAGATCGATGAAGTACACTGCTGAGGGGAGCAGCGGGCGGGTCAGGAGAGGTCTGCCGCGCCATGTGGTCACCTCCGGGGCAGGCGGGGATTGAACTCTTGCGGAAGTGGCTTTAGCTTCTCAGTGCTGTGCTTTAACCCGCTGCGCCACCAGGGAGGGCCGAGCCGCAAATATTTTTAATTTGTCTTTTGGATTCATAATATATTCGCAGGTTCTGTTTTGAGTTTTAAATCGAGATGCTTCCTACTGACTCCCGGCCCTCGGGTCTCCTCTCTGGAAGCAACAGTCTACACTGCGCACCAGTTAGCGATAGTGGCCCCAGGAATAGAGGCGACAGGAGCCCGAGTTAGCCTCCTCGTGTCGTGAGGACTCGTCCATAGAGCGTGTAGTTACACGAGGCCGGGGGGCGTGGCTGCACACCTCGGCTGCCCCGGGGTCATTTTTCCCGTGTGGGTGGCCCGTGGTCTTCTGAACCGGCCTCAGCAGCACGTGTGTCCTTCCGGAAGGACACTGTAAGCATATATAACCAGACATGATTCAGCGCAAGTTATATATTTAGTCTTTGTTTCTGGCACCGAGCTCTTAAAACCCTTGAACTTCCTGAGGGATAAGAGTGTTTGGTTACTTACAGTGAGCCCCTTCTGATCACCCTTGAGTTTATGCCAGTGGGACTCAGGGTAGGGTCGTCAGTTAGCTTCACGATTGGCTGGTCCCCAGAAAGATCCATCCACAGGTGGGAACTTTCAAATCTCCACCACCCCCTCAGAGATGGGGGGAGCTGGAGATTCTGATGAGAGTTTCTGGGTGGCTCAAAGCTGGGAGGGCGCTTTGAGAAGGATAGAAGCTACCGTTCCGCCCACCACCTGGCCCGAGGTTCTCTTTGACAGCTGGGTCATGTCCTTCGTAACAAATGGGTGACAGCTACTAAAGCACTTTCCAGAGTTCTGGAGAATTATGAAACCTGATGAGGGGGTCATGGTAACTCCAAATTTGTAGTCATCCAGACATGAGAGTCACTTGGGTGCCCCTTTGGCATCTAAAGTGGGGACAGTTTTGTGGGACTGAGCCCTTAACCTCTGTGCTCTGCCTGAGCTCTCAGATTGAGTGGCAGAGTTAATGGTAGTCATGCCGTTGGTGCTGGAGAGTTGGAGACTTGACGTGGAAGACAGTATTTGGTGTGTCAGAAGGGAAAAAACATGGTGTCAGAAAAAAGATATCGCTACAAATATGCATGTATGTCTCACTCACCTTTTTCTTTTTTGAATATTTATTTATGCACATAAGAACTGGGGTACAGGCCAGAAGTGCGAGGGATTTACCAGAGACAGAGTGGGGAGCAGAACAGACAGAGTCACTGAAACACACTGCTGAAGGGAGCAGTGGGCGGGTCAGGAGAGGTCTGCTGCGCCCTGTGGGTCAGCTCCCTGGCTGGGAATCAAACTCGTAACAAAGTGGTTGCAGATGGCTTCATGTTGTTACACTTTAACCCATTGCACCCCCCTTTTTCAAAAACTCCAACAGAAGAATTCATGGGCTTTTTTGTGTAGTTGTTAACATATTTTGAAGATGGTTCCTTATACAAACATCCCTTTTGACAGCTGTATAGCATTCTTCTTGGTTGATGTACTACTGTAACATGTTCCTTATTGTTTGACATTGGTTTCCAGACTTTTATTGTTCCAAACAGTACTATCGTTAGTGACTTTGTGAGAACATGATTACCCAGATAGAAAAGGTATCTGTGCATGAATTCCTAGAATTCCTTAGCCAAAGGCCAGACCAAGACTGTTACTTTGATACTTTTCACTCCGTCACTTATTTGTTCAAGGGCTCATGTTGGAAATATTAAACCAAGTGTGGGGTTTGCCTCTGTGAGCCTAAATTCACACAGGCAGATAAAAACCAACTGGTCCATGTGTACATGAATGAAAACTACAGGCTTGCTTGTAGTTAACATGAGTGCAGTTTTAAAATGTCTACAACCTAGAAGGCAGAAGTCTCAGACTCTCAGGTCCTTGCAGATGTCCTGGAGGGCATCAGCACTTTTTTGAGTTCAGCAACCCCATATCCTTCAGCCTTTGGTTGCTAACGCTGGTTAATCCACAAACATTCAAGGCCCATGGAAAAACTTCATCGCCAATGCCATATGGCCCTTCCCCGTTGATACTAGGTGAATTCTGGATAGATTTTTAAACATGGATGCAGTGAAGTCAGCCACGCTGACTCCAGCGGTCCACCTGCTGTATCCGTTTAGCCTGATGGCCTCATAGGCATCTTCGCCCGCCATTTTATGTGCTTGCACTTCCTTTGCTTCCTGCTTGTACATCACTCTCCGCTCCATTTATGGATTCAGTTCCTGGAGAGAAGTACCTGCTGAGGTCACTCCACTACACATGACCATATGAGTCGCCATGGTCTCCTCAAACCACCTATGGCTGCCACTGGCGTGAATACTATAATTCAGTTCTGAGGTAGCAAAGCCCAGAAGAATCCAGATTTTACCCACTTCCAGTCACATGCTGTGGGGGTTAGCCACTTAGTTTCCAACATGTGGGTTGGAAAACCAGCCACACACTATCAGGTGTGTGGACAATCTAAGGAAGAGCTCATCTGAAAGCACCGACCCCAGCCTGAGGCACTTCCTGGACACTTCCTCTCCCTCGAGTGCGGTTACCACCGCACTCTAGAATGGGTGGCCACAAGTAACCTTTATCTACCACAACTATAGGTGTCTGCAAAAATAGCTGCTTCATCGTAACCCTGGTGATCGTGTTGCCTAAAGGCGAACCCTGATGATCCTGTTGCCTAAAGGCGAACCCCGGTGTCGCCAGGGCTGTGAGCTGCTGCACCCAGGCTCCCCCCGCCTGTTTTGATGGTTTTTGCCGAAAGTGCTGGGATAGAGGCTGCGCCCCCACCCCTTCTCCACCCCAACAATGCGTGTTTTCCAAAACACTCACCAAGCAGTGAGGTGCCAAGTTATTGGTCTTTGCTGAACTGCCAAGGGGAAAAATGGTTTCTTTGTGAAGCGATGATTTGTGCTCAAGTACTGTTTCACTGGCTGGAGAGCTGTTTGTCTTTTCTGATGAACTGCCCTTGTCTCTTTGCCCACTGCTCCACGGTTTTTGGTTTCTGATGGACATTTTAGGGCTTTTCCATAAATGAAAGACAATAGCCCCCCCAGAGATGTCAGTTGTATGCATTCTCTTCACTTGATCATTTTGACTGTGCTTTTGTTTTCATGCAAGAAAGTCAATGTGGCTTACTGGTTCTGTGTCATCGTGAAAAGGACCTTTTCCACTCTGACATGATCTACAAGACGTGGCTGTATTTTTTTTTCTGCACTGAAATCCTGAGTTCATCTGGAATTTATTACACACCCAATTCCCTTCCATTATCTTAGTGCTATTTGAAAATTTCATCTTTTCACAACAGATCTGAAATGTAACTTTTATCATATACTAGATTCCTGTATGCATTTGTACATTACTAGATTTTTCTATCTCCCAATGACCTTTAATATTACAATTAATTGTTATGGAGCTGGGTTCTAATATCTGCTAGTCAGTCTCCACTCTTGGCTACTTCTCATCACCTCCAGACCCATCCACACGGTCCCACAGCCTTTTGTTTTCAAAAAGCTCATGGCAGGACCCTCTGGTGGCCCAGCAGGTTGGCAGTACTATGGGGCTGTCCACAGCCACTGCAGCATGAGTTTGATGCCTGGCCAGGGAGTGACCCACAGGGCGCAGCAGACCTCTCCTGTCCTGCCTGCTGCTTCCCGCAGCAGTGGATTTCAGTCTATCTGCCTATTCTGCTCCCCACACTGGGGAATCCTCTCACCCCTGGCATCTTAGACCTGCACCCCAGTTCTGTATGCATAAATAATCTTTTTTTTTTTTTTTAAAAAAGCTCATGGCTACTCTTGCTTATTTAATTTTTACATGAAATTCAGTTTTTCCAGCCCCTCTTTTTCAGCCCACCCCCAAAAAAACCTTGCCAGATTTTTTTCGGTTTGAGTAGTTGACACACACCTCTATATAAATTTAAAGTGTCCTGCATAATGGCTCATCACAGATTGTATGCATACAACTCTCAGTGACATCACAGCCTTCATTCCAGACTACCACATGGGAGCCAGGGTTCCCAATTAGTGAGTCATGGGACTCTTCTGGCTTCCCGGTGCATATAAAAGTGAAGTTTATACTGCACTGAAGTGTACTAAGTACACTAATACTCTGTCTACTTATAAACCTTCATTAAATGGTATATACCTTCATAAAAATATGTAATTGCAAAAATTATATATGGTAATTTTAACCATCACTGGAGCCTTCGGCGAGTCATAATCTTTTTGCTGGTGGATGTTCTCATAAAAACATCATCTGCGAGGCCCAAGAAAGTGAAGTACAATAAAAGTAAGAATGTCTGTGCTGTGAAATGATTACCATGGTAAGCTTAGTTAACTTCTATCACCTCATACTGCTATCAAAAATTATTTTATCCAAAGAATACAAACAGTACAAAAATATTTATGTAGCCCTATGTCTAGAAGTATATCATAATAACCAAGGCACCGAAACTACCAGAAGACTGGATAAAGAAATTGTGG